CTCCTCCGCCGCGCCCGCCGCGCCGCCGCCGCGCTCATGGCGTTCGCCGCCCCGCTGCTGTTCCGCCTGGGGTGAGTGAGCGGGAGAGTGAGCGTTCGCCGCTGCGGGACCCCCGCGGGGAGGGAGCCACCGCCGCCCGCCTTTGTGCTGTCGCCGGGAGGCAGGGCCCGCCGCCCTCCTCTGCTTGTGCGGAGGCGCCCGGGAAGGATCCTGCGGCCCCACCGGCACGGAGAGAGCGGGCTGGGGTTCAGCCCGTGCCGGCTGGAGGTGTGGGGGCGGGCGGTGTCAGCGCGGCCGCCGGGGCCGAGGGTCAGCCGCCGGCTCGCCCCGCGTGGTGCCGGTCACTCTCCCCTGCGGGGCGCCTTCTCTCGGGTGTCACCGCTGACCYGCCGCGGTGCCCCGGCCGTGGTCAAGCTATCCGGTGTTGTTGCTCCCCGGTTTCGGGCTCCCGCCGYCGCAGACGCAGGGAATCCCCGGCTACTGCAGGGGTGGCTCCCGGTGTCCCATCCAGGGGTGCCCTCGGCTGGGAATGGCCTTTGCAACCCGGGACTTTACATGTCCRTCATGGCATTGTTCCCCGTCCCGTCCCAAATTGCTGCTGTACAAACGGGGAGGTCTCTCCGAGCCCCGCAGCCCACATGCACGGGGGCACTACTTGCCTCCCATTTCCTCGGCCCATTCCCTCTTCCCTGATCCCCCCGGGCCATGGCAAGCTTGGGSATATCTCCCCCGGAGCATGGGGAGGGACAGCCAGCTCCAGCCCCTCCTGGTGAGCGCCCCACAGCAATGCTCCCCGAGTCCTTGCTGCCCGGAGCAGCTGGAGGGGGCCTGCTTGGGGAACCAGTTTTGCCCTCACTGACAATCTGGGGTGTGGGGTACACACACACCACCTCCAGACCCCCCTCTGCCCCATGAAAAAGTGACCCTGTATGTGTTCTCTGTGGGAGTCGCAGCCGCGGCAGTAGCCCTCTCTGCAACTGGGCTCCTTATGGGGGCTGCAGTTTAATGCCGAGGGGTGTCTGCCCTCCCCAGGTACAGCCTGTACGCCCGCACACGCCTGGGTTACCTCTTCTACCAGCGGCAGGTGAAGAAGGCCCGGGAGCGGTACCCACACGGCCACTCCGTGTCCCAGCCCTACTGCTTCCCTGGTGAGTCCTGGCCAGCCTCTCCCACACCGTGGCCACGCAGTGTCCCCCAGCAGTGGCACTTTAAGGTGGGGAGGGGTTGCCGTCGCCAAATTGCCCGAAGCATGTTTAATTAAGAATTTGATTTAAGATGTGGGGAATTTGGCSTGGATTTCCCCTTTTCCCACGCAGAGGGTCATGCCCTGAGTCTGTCTGTCTGTCCTCCCCAGGGGTGAAAATCCTGCCCATTCCTGTGCTCTCCAACAACTACAGCTACCTGGTCATCGACACTGGCTCCGGCCAAGCGGCTGTCATTGACCCCTCTGACCCRCTGGCTGTACAGGTGAGACCCTCACAGCCACTCTGATCTACTGTTTGGGTGTCTCCAGGTCAGGGAGTGGCATGACTCTGTATTTTGGGGGTAGAGGGGTACAAATCTGCCCCTAAACTGCAGCCTTAGTGTCCAAGGCAAGGTTGGACCGTGGCAGGGTGTTACAATCCAATCTGAAYGCTGAAGAGCAGAGGAAACTAAGTGTCTGTGAAAAAAGTGCACTGAACAAAAAAAAAGGCTCAAAATATTCCCAAAACGAGATTGAAACCGAATGAGATTAAATGTCGATGCCAAAAAATTCATATATTTTATTTAATAGTGAAAGAGGCAAAGAGAAAGAAAGAGAGAAGAAAGAAATAAAGAAACAGAGTGTGTGGGGGTTTGATCATTTGGTGTGAGAGTCTGTACTGGCCTGGCACCTGATAGCCCTGGGGCTATGGTCCCGACCCTGAAGGTGCTAATCGTGATCTCTGTGTGAATGTATTCTTCTCTCCAGCTCTGACTTTTTCCTTAACTTATCTYTGATCAGCAGGCAGTGAGCAGTGTAGCCAGGGCCCCATTCAGGGTTTTGGTRGSTTTYTCTGCAGCTTTTGTATAGTTTTGCTATAATATGCAAAAAGTCCTTCATGAAAATGTTTAAGTCATAAACTGTAACATTTTAGTCTCCTGACACARGGCTCATTCAGCACCTGGAAAGAGGAGGGGGCCAAGGTTTAGGGGGAAACTGGTACTTGAGTTCTCTGTCCCCCTAAATCTATCCTCTCTGTCCATGTTTTCTCTCCATTCCCAGGCTGCTATTGAAGAAGAGGGGGTGATGCTGGAGGCTATATTCTGCACACACAAACACTGGTAAGGGACAAGAGGCGGTCCTTGGAGGATTGGTAGCTGCTGTGAAGGTTGCCCCAGCTGAGGCAACCCCCAGCCCTGCCCCATGTAGTGGGGGGMGCATGGGGGGGCACACTGAGGGTCTCTGACCACCCTGTCTGCAGGGACCACAGTGGAGGGAACGAGGCGCTCTGCCAGAAGCACAGCTCCTGCAGGGTGTACGGCAGCGCTCTCGATGCCATCCCACAGCTCACCAAGTAAGTCCTGGACCTCTGTAAATTGGGGGGGGCTTCATTCCTAACCACCACTGCCTGTGCCACTCACCCACAACGTAGTTTATCCCCCCAATACCATGCTGGCAGAGACCTGGCATGCTCCTGACACCAGTGTGTGGGGAAGGGTTGCCAGGGTAGGTGGGCATTTTTGAGGTGCTGGGGTTGGGAGGAGCACCCTGATTGTGCGCCCTGTGCCCGGCACAGCCCACTTGCAGACAGGGAGAAGGTGAGCGTRGGCTGCCTGACCTTCGAGGCGCTTGCCACACCTGGCCACACCGTGGGCCACATGGTGTACGTGCTGGACGGGGAGCCCTTCGGCAGCCCCCTCTGCCTCTTCTCCGGGGACCTCCTCTTCCTCGCTGGCTGCGGTGAGTGCGCCCAACCCCAGACAGGGGGTTGGGGTGCTGGGGGGTTACCCACCCTGGGATGGGCTTAGGGGTACCCCCCAGCCCCTTSCAATGACAGGTGGTTGTGTGGGGGTCCAGGCAGGCCATTTGAGGGCTCCCCGGAGACCATGCTCGCCTCCCTGGACGTGGCTGTGGGCTTGGGTGAGGACACGCTGCTGTGGCCTGGTGAGTGTCCCCAACAGCAGGGCAGAGCTGCTGGTGTCCCTCTAGTCCCCACTGCCAAGTGATGCTAAGGGCTGTGTATGGGGCCCACAGGCCACGAATACGCGTTGGAGTGCCTGACCTTYGCCAGCCTCCTGGAGCTGGACAATTCCGCGCTGGAGCAGAAGCTGCAGTGGGCAGTGCAGCAACGCCAGGAGAAGAGGAGCACGGTGAGGCACAGGGGTCCCCTGGCTGCAGCACCCACCACCCCAGCCCCTCACGGGGTTCCCCATCCCTTGGCAGGGATGCTGCACCCTGGCACTCTCTTGCATGGCGGGGTACTGGGGGCATTGTTCCTTCAGAAAAGCTGAGYTGCTGTCCCCACAGTGCCCCTCCACGCTGGGGGAAGAGCAGACCTACAACCCCTTCCTGCGGACCCACCGGCCGGAGCTGCAGGAGGCGCTCGGACTGTGGCAGGGTGGGGGTGAGGACCCCGACGCCTTCCGTGCCCGTGTCCTCAAGGAGGTGCGGAGGCGAAAGGACCTCTACCAAGCTACCTAGATCCCCCCCACTCCCCRGATCCCCCCTTTCCACGGGGCTGGGTGATGGTTGGGCACAGGGGGCCCAAGACTGTGGTTTGTTTTGCTGTGAATCTCCCTCCTGGGGTGCAGGGTTGGGSGAGGGGACACCCCCTGAGCTGGGCACCCCATAAGTGATCCCTGCCTTTGCTCCCTCAGACTTGGGGGTCACCAGCTGTCATATAAAAGAACCTCAATCCCCTTTCAGGGTGTCTGTAGCCACCCACCTCACTGCTGGGGCCATAGGAATGGCACCAAGGGCTTTTCCTACACCCCTCCACCCCCGTTTTTCTGGGAGTCTCCAAYTTCCCCTCCATCACCACCACTCAGCCCCCTTCCCTTAAGCCCCCAGTGYTGTGCATCTCTTTTAGGGGGGCTGGGATGGAGCCAGCAAGGGGGAGGCGGGTGGCAATACTACCTCCAGGCAGGGGGCTCCTCTCCAGCACCCCATCCTTGACGCCGGAGCCCCCCCTGTACACACACACATGCACTGGGACGGGGCCATAGGTCACACTGGTGGGGTATGGGGGGTGGTGCTTCACTGGGGACCGGAGCCACAATCACCCCCACGCCCCAAATAAAAGACTGGATCGATTTTATCCCTGTTGGTCCCTTTCTCCCCTGGTCGGTGAGAGCCCCGCGGCGGGGGCGCGGCCCCTTTAAGAGGCGGGGCCAGAGCGTTGCCTGGAGACGGCGAGGCRTGAGGGCAGCGGGGTCGGTCCGGCGGGGCCCGGGGGAGGACGGGGGGCGACAGGGGCTGCAGAGGCGGGCTGGGTGTCACTGACCCGCAGGGTGACGGTGGGGGAGTACTGAGGTTCGGGGGAGCCACGCCGCCCCCTCACCTGAGGGTCCGGCAGCAGGAGCCCGCAGGCGAGGCATGGAGACCCCACAGGAAACCCCACAGGAGACCCCACAGGAAACCCCACAGGAAACCCCACAGGAAACCCCACAGGAGACCCCACAGGAGACCCCACAGGAAACCCCACAGGAGACCCCACAGGAGAGCCCTCAGGAGACCCCACAGGAGAGCCCTCAGGAGACCCCACAGGAGATCCCACAGGAGAGCCCTCAGGAGAGCCCTCAGGGGAGCCCGAGCGTGGCGGACAAGGCTGCCGAGTTCCTGAGCCGCATCGGTGCGTGCGCCCTCCCGCGTCTCCCTTGTCAGCCACACCGTGCCCGGTGCAAGAGCGGGGCACCGGCTCCGGCAGGATAGTGGGGAATTGAGCGGGATAGATGGTGAGGGGCTGGGCCCAGCCTGCACGGAGGGAATTGAGGCAGGGAGGGCACTAGGCAGGGGCGACAGTCGCTCCAAGTTGTGGTGACCACCCCCTCGGCGTCATCATCCCTCTGTGTTGGGGTCACCATCYCTCTGTGTAGGAGTGTCCGTCCCTCTGGGTAGGGGTGACCATCCCTCCRTGCAGGGCTGAAGGAGCTGGAGTGGTGCCTGTTTGCCGAGACACTGGCAGTGGTGGCCGCAGGGGCCCCGCCGACGGACAAGGCAGAGGGTCAGTGGTGGATGGCAGCCCAGTGGGCACCCTACCAGCGGGGTGATGAGCCGGTGCAGAGCTGCATCCTGGTGCAAGCCAAATTCCGAGGCAAGCAGGATGGTGTGCTTGCCTCCAGAACCCTCAAAGGTGAGCCAGGGGTGGCYTGGGGGGTTCCTGTCCTCCCCAGGGCTGGAACATCCCTGTCCACCAGCCCCCAGGACTGGGAACGGGGACAACGTTAATGGGATTGGTTGAGCATGGCTTTGCTCTGCCAGCCTATGTGACCTGGCAGCTGGAGACGCTGGAGCARGAGGAGCAGGAGTGCCTGGAGGTGACTGATGTGGTGGTGGCATGTCCCCTTCCCTGTGTCCTGCCYGCTGCCCTGGGGTATGCCCTGCAGTTGTGCCCTCCTGGGGGCTCTGCCCCCTGCAAAGTCACTGTGGGTTGTCTGGTGCCCCTTGTCAAACTTAGACTCCAGCTGTGCCCCAGCAGCCTGGTCCCCATCCCCTGCTCTCCCAGCTAGGGCAGGGAGTTTCCCACAATGCATCTGGTGTGGTACCCTGATTGCCAGCACCGCTGGGGGTGCCACCTCAGAGAAGGGGTGCCCTGGCTCTACCCTCCACCCCGTGCCTCCCAACCCTCCCGCAGTTCAAACCATACCCCACAGAGAAGAGGACCCACATCGTGAACCAGGAGCATGGGATGACTGTCACAAAGACCCTGCAGGAGGGAGAGGTGAGGCTCAGGGCAGGATCACATCCCGGGAGGAGGCAGCACAGCTGGCCAGTCTCACCAGGGGTGCCCCAGGCTCTGGGGTTTGCTGTCCCTGGGGATGCTGGAGCTGTGGCTGTTCCACGAGGTAGCCAGGTCTCTCTGCAGGCAGAGCCACAGAGCCAGAGCTTCTCCTACAGCCYGGACAAGCTGCGGGGGCTGCTGCTGGAGGGTGCCAGCCTCCTGCTGCTGCGGGTGCTGGCACGCCGGCAGACAATGCCCCCAGACCTTGTCTTCCCAGCCATCGACACTGAGAGTGACCTCTGCACCTCCAGCTAYGTGAGCCAGAAGCCAGGAGGGCCTGTGGGATGGGGGGTCTGCRTCAGGCTGGGGATATCAGGGTGGGATGTGAGAAGTGGGAGTGGGCAGGATGTTGCTGACAGCGTGGAGGGGACACATGGGGGTGGTGCCTASGGGCAGGGTGACTCTCAGCCAAGGCTGACCCCTGGCTGTACTGCCCCCAGTCTGCCCTGGGCATCCAGCGGCAGGCAGTGGGCTCAGCAGAGAAAGAGGTGTTTGTGATCCAGAGAGCTGTGCARTCCAGCACAGGCTCCTCCACTATCTGGCACAGCAGCTTCCTCCCCAACGGGTAAGGGCAAGGCTCTGCTCAGAGGCACCCCCAGCCCTGCCAGGCTGGTGGGAGCCAGGATTGGGGGTCAAGGGCTCTTCCCCTCTCAGGCGTTTGGCTCAGCTGATGCAGACTGGCTCCCCAGTGCTGATGCTTCTACAGGATGARTCCATCCTCAGCAAGTCAGGTACTGAGGAGAGGAGGTTTGTTGCCCCCCAGCACTGGCTGCCCCTGCCCACAATCTGGCAACCAAGTGGGAACACCCTGCCCTGCCTTTCTGCTGCCAGGTAGCTTYGAGCCCCAGGTCCCCTTTCCCAAAGAGTCCCTGAGCTGGGAAGAGGACCTCGAACTCTACTCCTGGTTCCTGGACAGGCAGGTAAGATGGGTGGACATGGGGACAAGGGAATATGGTGCTGTGCCAGTCTCTAGCAGAGGCTCCTCTGGAGTGCCCAGGGGGCACACACTGAGGGGGCAGGCTGGCCTGCATCCTTCCTCACACCTTCTTAAGTGTGGGAAAGGACCCAGGCTCCTGTCCCCTCACGCTGGCACAGTGCCCAGGGGTGGCACATGGGTCCTTGCCCACCTCACCTACCCTGCCCACCCTGCTGCAGGAAGAGCTGCAACTATCCCATGCTGCCTACCTCCAGCAGCACCCCGAGGTCCGAACGCTGCTGTCTGACTTCCTCCAGGCATTGCTCTTTCAGCAGCCCCAGGATCCCATCTCCTTTGCTGCAGATTTCTTCGCCCACCAGCGGCCCATCGGGTCCCCCTTTGCCTCCACTGGGGCTGCCAGCCCTCTCCCCAGCACCCCACCTGACCACCCTCCRGATAACTAGGAATAAAGCTGCCAGCACTCCCTGTCCAGTGCTGCCTGGAGTGTTTGCTTTGGGGAAACTGAGGCTTGGGGAGGGCCAGTGGAGCTGAGCTCCATGCTAAAGCCCMACCGTGCATTCTGGGCGGGACCCTGTCCCCCTCCCAGCTGTTCTAGCCCTCGCTTGGGGGACAGGGGTAGCCTGGAGGGTACCCAGGAGCAGGGCTAGGCTCACATCCCTGTGCCTGCCACCACCCCATGTGCTCCTGGGGGACACCCCTTGCCCACCTCTTTGTGGGGCACAGCCTGGCTGGCAGAAGGCGTACCCCAGAAGGGCAGCCGGCACAAACCAGGCACCCAAGGGAGTACCCAAAATGCTGTCCCTTCCACCTCCACAGCCATGAGGGTCCTGGGGATGGGGTACCCCATTTCTGTTGGCACAGCTTGACACTGCAGCAGCATTGGCACTCCGTCTTTGGYGAGAAGATCCCCACACCCTGGGGCTGCAGAGCCCCAGCAGCCGAGGGTTCATTTTCACCTCCTTGTGCAACATGTGCCCGCTTCCTCCTCACTCCCACTTCTATGGCATTTCCCCTACTCCTGTGGGGCCAGCCCTCCCCACACTGTGGAACAGTGTGTCCCCTGTCCCCCCAGTCAGCCAAGCAGAATTCAAGGCACGTGATGGAGAGTGAGATGCACACATGGTCCCACGCCCTGGTGTGGGTGCCTTGTGTTCACTCGTGTGTGGGGCAAAGGGGAGGGAAGGGGCCTCCTGGCACGGGGGGAACTGAGACTGTGTGTGTTCACACAGGGTAGGGAAGAAGCACTTCCTTCTCCTATCCTGCTCCTCTCCTCCTTGGAGCAGGGTGGGGCAATTGCGGGGTGGGTGTCCTTTAAAAGCCGGGAGGCAGGCACTGCACTCAGTGCTGAGATCGGGGTGCCTCAGCACCGTGGCTGCATCGGATCCACCCATGGCATCACTGAAACCAGGTGAGCCTCACAACATTGGGTCCCCCTGTGCCTCCTTTCCTCCCCTAGATCCCCTTCCCTCCACCCCAGTTCCCATGGTTGTACTCCATCTTTCAACAGGAATTGTCTCCCCCAGCCTGTCCTGGATTGCCCACCTGCTCCATTCTCTGTTCCCCCAAGGCTGGGATTGTGTTTCAACCAATTCCCAGGATGTGGGTGGGCTGGAGAGGGGGGATTASAACCAGTAYCAGCCTCTTGTACTCTACACCCACYCAGCAGCAGGAGCTGCAGCAGGGTCCCCTTCCTGTCCTGCTGCCCAGAAATGCACTTGGCTCTTGGACTGGTGAAGATGGGGCTGAGACCAGGGGYTTTAGGGACACCTGAGCTGGAGGTGCCATCTTGCCCTTTTGGGTGGCCACAGAGAGATCCCATACAGCCACCCTCATGGYCTCCCTGGAAAACTGGTGCTTGTCCCTCATGGGGCTCACCAGGCAGGGTCAGGTGGGACTGTAGGAAGCTGGTACCAGGCCTGCCAGCCCACCAATGTCCTTGTCCTTGTCCCCCTGCCACCTCCCCTGCTCTTCCTTGTCCTCCWCAGGCCTCACCAGGTCACTGAACAGTGGCCAAGAGCAGAGTTACAGCTCTGGCAGGAGCCCCATGCCCCCACAGCGCGCTGGCACTCAGGACCAGACCTACCTGGACGAGCTCATCAGCATCCCCAAGGGCACAGGGGTAGGTGCTGCAAGGCTGGCTGAGGGTGGGTGGAGGGGATGAGGGCACCAGTGCTGCAGGGTGCTGGAGGTGGGGAGGCAAAGGGCCACTGCAGTGGGAAAGATGTGGCTCAGTCATGTCCCAGGGACCTGCCCTCAGCAYCCCCAGACACAGCTCAGGCAAGTCACAACCCTAGGCTGAGTACTTACATGCTTTAAGTTTTCCAGATGGAGAAACTGAGATATAAGGCAAGGTGCTACCCAGCCACAGGGATCACCCCACTGCTCAGACACCTCCTGGGCCACGCATGGATGAGCCCAGTGGGGCTCCCCAGAGCTTGCACCCCATCCCAGTGTGGGGCAACAGAATAGAGAAAGGGAAGAAATAGGATTCCCCAGTTAGGAGCAAAAGTGGAGTTCAGCAGCGGAATTGCATGGAATGCAATTAATGGTGCCGGACAGCCCTGAGATGCCCCTGCAAATCACTGTCTAATGAATGAGACGGGCTCACTGCTCCTCCAGCACTGCTGACAACAGAGAGAGAGGCTRGGGGCAGCAGTTCCCTCTCCAAAACTGTCAGAACTATGACCTCCATGTGCCAAACACACCCATGTGGGCAGCACTGGGCTCAAAGGGACTGGATGCACTATGGGGAGRCACCGGTTTGGAACGGGAGCTCCTGGCTCTGACCCGCTTGCCTTTCCCAGCGCGGGTTCAGCTTTAGGAAACTCTGGGCTTTCACCGGTCCCGGCTTCCTCATGAGCATCGCCTACCTGGACCCGGGCAACGTGGAGTCAGACCTGCAGGGCGGGGCACTGGCGGGATTCAAGGTGAGCCCGGCTCGGGGCTCAGGAAGCCGGAGGGGTTTCGTAARCTCTCCAGCACCAACGGCTGCCCATGGCAGCTGGCTTCCTCATCCCGGGGGCAGGAAGGGCACAGGGGCCCTCGGCACAGGGAGAGGCCACTCCGGGGGGCCAGAGGAGCACCCCGTGACTGGGCCGGGAGAGCACCTGCACCCCCTCTCTTCCCTGCGACCCTGCTTGAACCGGGACGTCCTGGACGGCCGGATCCTGCCCAGTACCCAGTCCCTACCTTGTCCCTCCCTCCTGTCCCCCAGCTGCTGTGGGTGCTGCTGTGGGCCACTGTGCTGGGGCTGCTGTGCCAGCGCCTGGCCATCCGTCTAGGCGTGGTGACCGGGAAGGACCTGGGCGAGATTTGCTACCTCTATTACCCCAAGGTGAGTTCACGGTCTGGGGGGATCCTGCRCTTGGGCTGCTGACAGTCCTAGCAGGGACTTGCAGGGCTGGAGAGGAGCAGGWAGATGCTGTGAGAGCCCCGCCTCTTCCAGGAGCTCCCCAAGGCCCCCCAAGCCACTGTGTCCCCCAGCTAGTGCCCACACCCCTGAGGTGCAGGGGCCCAGGGGAGGGTGGGAAGCAGCTACTTCGGAGTCCTGGACTGACCTGGGGACACATGAGAGCGTCCCCTGCGGAGCTGAGCCCAGGTGTCAGCGCAGCAACGCGAAGCCAAGATGCGGGRAGAGCCAGGGCATGTTGGGGCAGGAATCTGGAGCGGCTCAAGGGAAGCTGAGAGGGGGCACACAGGGTCCCCATACTGCTCTGGGTGGCCTGCTAAGCCTGGAAATGGGTTTGCACCTGGGATGCTGGGCCAGCTTACCCAGAGCTAGGCCCCACTGTGGACTCAGGCACCTCATGGTGCCCCATCCCCTCCAGGTGCCCCGTGTGCTGCTCTGGCTCATGATTGAGATCGCCATCATTGGCTCTGACATGCAGGAGGTGATCGGGACGGCCATTGCTTTCAGCCTGCTCTCAGCTGGCCGGTGAGCCTCCCCACACAGACCCCCAACCTCCCCCATGGCCCTACCCCACCTAGGGCCACATAGCTAATCCTGCCCCTGGCCATCCTGCAGCATCCCCCTCTGGGCTGGGGTCCTCATCACCATCGTGGACACCCTCCTCTTCCTCTTCCTGGATAAGTATGGTGAGTGCCAGGATGAGGGCTGGGGGTACTGTCACCCAGGTAGCCCATGTGGCACCAGTGTCCCCTCATCTGTTCCACCCCATCTCTTGACTCTCTAGGACTCCGCAAACTGGAGGCTTTCTTCGGCCTCCTCATCACCATCATGGCCCTGACCTTTGGCTTTGAGGTGAAGGGGGGAGCTGGGGACAACCCTTTTCCTGCAATGCTGGCAAGGGACCCCCACATAGTGTCCCCACTGGCACCAGCCTGTGRTAGGGGAGTGGCAGCTCACAATGCCCCTTCCCACTGCTCCCCAGTACATGGTGGTGAGGCCAGAGCAGGTGGAGGTGCTGAAGGGCATTTTCCTGCCCTACTGCCCGGGCTGTGGGCGAAAGGAGCTGCTGCAAGCCATGGGCATCATTGGCGCCATCATTATGCCCCACAACATCTTCCTCCACTCCTCCTTGGTCAAGGTGAGACCAAGGCACTGCCATGGGCACTCTTCCACCAAGGTGCCTCAGGGTGGTCTTGGTGGGGACCAGCTGGTCCTGACTGTGGGACAGTGGTGCTCAGCTGGCCCCATGACACCCATGTCACTGGCCACGCCAGACACGGGTGATTGACCGCTCCAACAAGGAAGCAGTAAAGGAGGCCAACATGTATTTCCTGACCGAGTCCTGCCTGGCCCTCTTTGTCTCCTTCCTCATCAAYCTCTTCATCATGGCTGTGTTCGGCGAGGCTTTCTACCACCAGCGAAATGAGGACGTGGTGAGTGTCACCTCATGTCCCCAGGGAGGCGATGGCTGTKTCCAGCTGTGGGCATGGACAGGACAAGCATCCCTTGGGGAGAGAGTGTCCTCACTCCCTGAGACATGGTGTGTGGTGTCCCCCTGTGWCTGTGGGAGCTGCTGGGTGTCTGTCACACCTGTGCCTGTCACACTTGTGCCTGCCATGCCTTGCAGCACAACAAGTGTGTCAACAGCAGCATCAGTCACTACGCCGGCATCTTCCCCACCAACAACGAGACAGTCTCTGTGGATATCTACCAGGGGGTGAGTGGCACCAGGCAGTGTCCAGTGAGCATCCATTCCCATTTTGGGGATATATCACTCTTCCCACTGACCCCTGGGGCTGGGGGTTGTTACAACCCCAATGGAAAGCAGGTAACTGCTGGGGATGCCTGGGCTAGGGGTCACTTTGGGGTGCCCACTGGAGTGTCCCCACACAGGGCGTCATCCTGGGCTGCTATTTCGGGGCAGTGGCACTGTACATCTGGGGCATTGGAATCCTGGCAGCGGGACAGAGCTCCACAATGACCGGGACTTACGCAGGGCAGTTCGTCATGGAGGTGAGAGAAAGGRATGCTGGCCCTTTTCCCCACGGGGAGCAG